TACCACTACCGTCATCATAATCATTACTATGCATCACCACCATATGCCTCAACACTGCTGTAGTACTTAGTACATCCACCACGCCCGCCGTAGGTAAACACTATTACCATATTCGTCGTCATTATCATCACCACCATCACACGCTGAGAACCAAACGTGCGTGCACAAGAGCCCTCCCTGACGGTGTAAAAGCGCGAACGCTTGAATCAGGACGCCGATCGGAGAAGATTGCAGCGCTAATTGATAAACAAGGACAGCGCTCATCAGATGCCTTTAAATGTAACGGTTACTGATGCAATGGGCCAAGGCAAAACACACATCCTGTGATAATCTGATCAGCACATGGGTTGACCACATCTACTGGCGTCATGGGATGATCACTATGCGACCTGATCACTGATTGTTCGGTGATGTTTCAGCGTCGACAATGCGCTCCAAATGCGGCGAACAGGGCAGGGCTCGATGCAACAGCTACTAATGTGGTGATAGAGCGGCCTCTGGGGTTGTACAAAACTTGGCCGTGGATGGTAGTGCATGCGTATATTTACTATTTTTGGTACACCTATACATATGTGTATATATATATATATATATGTGTATATATATATATGTGTATATATATGTATATATACATATAGATATGCATATATATATTAAGATATAGAAGAGATAGATAGATAGATAGAGAGATAGAGAGAGATATATAGAGAGGCAACATATATATATATATGTATCTCTATATATTATCTCTATCTCTCTCTATCTATCTCTCTCTCTCTCTATCTCTCTATCTCTTCTCTCTCTCTCTCTCTCTCTCTCTCTCTCTCTCTCTCTCTCTCTCTCTCTTCTTCTTCTCTTTCTTCTTTTTTTTTCTTTTTTTAATTTATTTCCTCTTTATTTCGATGTTGTTTCCACTCGCCAGGGTCCTGGACATCTGTTACGTAATACGAGCTGCGCGATGGCCCGAATTGCACCGATAAAGTGCGTGGATTATTTCGTTTTAAGGGTTGTCATAAGAGGATACACAATCCCACTATAAAAATTATCTCGTTAGTAATTGACAGGCAAACCCTATATATATATATATATATATATAATATATATATATATATATTATGAATAGATATAGTGTTTGCCTGTCAATTACTGACGAGATAATTTGCATAGTGGGATTGTGTATCCTTTATGACAACCCTTAAAACGAATCATCATGCACTTTAGTCGGTGCATTTCGGACATCGCGCAGCTCGTATACGTAACAGAGTCCCAGGGCCCTGCAGTGTAAACAACAGCGAATAAAGAGGCGTCATTAAACAGTGCATAAAGCCCTTTATGGTATGGTGTCACGTGATGTTATAATGGTTCTGCTGCGGTTGAGATCACATTTTGCGTCATGTATTTAGTGACATGTATCGATTTACGGCCCTTTTTATCTGCCATTTACGCTCAAGTAAGTAATTCGCAGTGACAAAGCTTTAAGGAGGTTTGTCGCAGGTTTAATACCGTGCGAAACATTTGGACCAAGCTTGAAACCGTGGCAGACAAGCAGCTTAGTACTCCTAAGCATTTAACAGCCATTGGCACCTCTTTAACCGTAATAGCATTGCACAACGCCAGTGCAGCAGCAGTGGTCGTGTCGACCACTGCTGTCACCGAGGCTTATTACCGCGGATCTGTGTGTTTGTGATTTATTTTCGTGGAGCGGGTACCCACGTCGGCTGACGAGAGACTGCGATGGGATGCCGCGAATCATCCTCGGTACCGCTTCGGCAGCATTAGCTGGAATTGCAAGAACAATCGCCACTCTCGGAAGCAGTTTTTAAAAGTTTAAAGGGTTGCTTGAATTTGTGGAAATTTGGAGCACAAAAATGCAATATGGCATGCGGAAACGTACGTACAAGGGACTGAGCAGGACAGAGCGACTTTGATGACGCACTGAAATTGAGGTAATGATCTGAATTAAGACGTTCGGCTCGCGCCTTGTCAGTAAAAAAAACACGTTTTTTTTAGCCGGCAATAGTGCGTTTTTGGACAGCTATCTTTTGGGTGATAGAAATAAAACATCGCTGTCTTTATGATCGCTTTTTTGGTTGTATCTGAAAAATACAAAAAGCTAAACGAATATCACACATTGTTCCATTTCGGAAAATCATCGCCATCGTCATTCCCACCTTTATTATTATCGTTATCTTCACCGTCATCGTCATCGCTATCGCCATCATCATCGCCGTCGTCATCATCATTGTCATTGTCATTGTCATTGTCACTGTCATTGTCATTGCCAGGGTCAACGTCATCGTCACCATCACCACCACCGCCGCCAGCACCACCACCACTAACACCCTGTTGCAAGTCCCCACACCCGACGTTCTAGAACACAAGTGCAAAAAAGGAGTTAGTCTCGTATGTCATCTACAGCACTTCCCATTTGGCAGTGTCTCTTAAGAATGAGCTTTCAGGTGGTATCAGACAGGGGCGCAGCTTAAGTTTGCGATGGGGTGCTACCATGATTTGCAGCGATGGTGGGGGCTGTTTATCTTTTACCAGCGAGTCACAGACGTTAACAGTAACTGCCGTACCAATGGGTAATCAAAGTTGGTTTGCCCTGGTGTTTTCAACGGTTGTTTCAGCTCCATGTCGTGCATGTTCACTCGGCTATCCTGTAGTCTCGCGGCTTGGCTAAGGCTGTTAACCTTGGCATGTCCTGCCTGCGGTAGCGTTTGTAGGATGGAAAGTCTCCATAGGTTTTCCACCCTGTAAATTGTGTCGCATGCCATGCAGATTTTGCGTAATGCTTTTCACACATATACAATTGGTTTCATATGTGTCTGGTGAGGGGGCGGGGAGGGTCCATGGGGCTATAGGGCCCCACCGTCAGGTTCAGAGGCGCAGTTTTTTCAATCATGGCACCTGTGAGTATGGTTCTAAATCTAGTGATCAGGAACACCATTTTGCTTTTCATACATCTCATAACGTTACCGTAGGCAGGGACATGTAGAGTCAAACAGCCGTAGTCCAAGCCGCAAGACTACAGGATAGCCGGGTGAACATGCGCGACACGGAGCTGAAACAACCCTCAAAGGCACCAGGGCAAACCAACTCTGATGACTCATTGATACGCCAGGTACTATACCTGTTAACGTCTGTGACTCGCTGGTAAAAGATAAACAGCCCCCACCATCGCTGCAAATCCTGGTAGCACCTTCATCGCAAACTTTGGCTGCGCCCCTGTCTGGTGCTACATGAAAGCTCATTCTTAAAAGTCACTGCCAAATGGGAAGGGCTGTAGATGGCATACGAGACTAACTCCTTTTTTACACTTGTGTTCTAGAACGTCGGGTGTGGGGACTTGCAACAACGTGTTGGTGGTGGTGGTGGTGGCCGCGGTGGTGGTGATGGTGACGATGACTATGACGCTGACAATGGCAATGACAATGACAATGACAATGACAATGATGATGACGACGACGATGATGATGACGATGGCGATGACGATGACGATTAAGATGACGATAATGATGAAGCTGACAACGACGATGGCGATGATTTTCCGAAATGAAACAATGTGTGATCGTCGTTTGGCTTTGTATTTTTCAGATACATTCAAAAAGCGATTATAAATACAGCAATGTTTTATTTCTATCGCTCGAGAGATAACTGCCCAAAAACGCACTATCGGCTTTAAAAAGCATGGCTTTCACAGACAGGTGCTAGAGCCGAACGTCTTAATTCAGATCATTACGTCAAATTTCAGTGCGCATCAAAAGTCGCTCTGTCCTGCTCAGTCCTTGGTACGTACGTTTCCGCATGCCATATTGCATTTTTGTGCTCCAAGTTCCCACAAAATCAGCAACCCATTAAAACTGTTAAAGCTGCTTTCTTGTTGATTGATAAGCCCTGCAATCTTCTTCGATCGGCGTCCTGATTCAAGCGTTCGCGCTTCCTACAATCGTCAGCGAAGGCTCTTGTGCATGCACGTGTGGTTCTAAGCGTGTGATGGTGGAGGTGATGATGAATAATGGTGACGAATATGGTCATAGTGTTTACCTATAGCGGTCGTGGTTTGTACTGATCGCTACAGCAGTGGTGAGACCATGTTGTTCATGCATAGTATTGCTTATGATGGCGATGATGGCGATGATAGTGGTAGTTGTGATGATGATGATGGTTACGATAACGACGATGATACGATGGTGATAGCGATGGCGATGACGATGGAGATGGCGATGACGATAGCAGGATAGATGACGATGACGATGGCGGTGGTGATGACCTGAAATTAAACAGTACATCGCAACTTCTTGCCAGTATATTTTCGATGAAACATGAAAAATAATGCATGCAGCAAAGTTTGTATTCCATTGCAGAGATCCGTTGGTGTTCTGTGCGAAAAAAAAACAGTGAATACCATACAGCAATATCAAAAAACTGTACTTGTGACCATCAAATCAAACCATGTTCAGAGTCCTCGCAGATGTTTGCACCTAACCGCTTAGACCAGATCGTTAACACAACTTTTGGAGTGTATCAAAAGTATTAGTGCTTTTTATCCTGTTCAATGGCCCTTGGTGCACGCGTTCCCCAGGGTATATTGCATTTTGTGCTCATAGTCCTCGAAAATAAGAGAGCGCATGAACGATTTTGAAGTTGCTTCCGAAAGCTTTGGCTGTTGTCTTGCAATTCCAGTTGTAGTTGCCGAAGCGGTAATGAGGATCAATGGCGGCATCCCGACAGGTCCCTTGCCAGCCGACACGGTACTGCTCCATCATGGTTGACTGCAAACACAGATGTGCTGTAGTGAGCATGGAGGCAAGAGAACCATTGCTAATATACTGGCTTTATGCCGGGTTATGACGGCGAAAAGAGTCAACCAACTAAAATGATCAGTGTTCTTAGTTTTGGCCTGGGTCACATATCTTGTGTGCTGATATGTTTATGACAATTCCACATGATGACACTGTCATTACGGATATTTTAATTGAAACGCGAACTTCTCATAATGTACCAATGATTATAATGGCGATAATGATATTGACAATGCATTATGCCGCATGCAGCCAAATGCATTACAAAAAAATGTCGTTCCACGCTAACAGTAAAATGCAAAGACTAGAAATACCGATGTTCAGAAATTCTGCGCGCACGTCCTAATGATACTTCTTTTATTCTTCTATTACGTTGCAACGTTTGTGCGAACGGTGAAGCATTCATAAACTGTGAGAAGTGTCACCTGTTACACGTGTGACATGTATGGCACCCTAAATGCACCGTCAACATGCGTATGATCAAGTTTTAAAAAGGTGTCATGGATGTGTGCCGAATGTTCGGTATTCCCACCGGTACGCAGTGGTATATATGTGTATAGAGAGAGAGAGAGAGAGAGAGAGAGAGAGAGAGAGAGAGAGAGAGAGAGAGAGAGAGAGAGAGAGAGAGAGAGAGAGAGAGAGAGAGAGAGAGATATATATATATATATATATATATATATATATATATATATATATATACAAGCGTACAAATCCTTAACAAATGAACGATCTTACAATTTTTCGCGCAGCCAATTTCCGTACAGCTCCAGTGATGGCCCTCGCAGTGGCATGCGTTACACGCAGCCACACCCTTTTCGTCCGATCTGCAGAATTTTGTCACCGCTGAAACATCACAGATCAACTTTTACAAACATGTAATACAGCATAGCAATAAGGTAATTAGGTGAGCACAGCGCATGTCGTGTCTCTTTGGTCTATTGCATCGGTAACTGGTGGAGGAAGCGTGTGCATTAACAATGGTTGACGCATTGCAAAGACGGCATCTGGTGAACGCCGTCCTTGTGATGTCTTTGGCGAAACACGCACACCTCGCAGAACAAACGGCAAAGAACGACAAAGTTAGCGTAAACAGGCTACTCACGGCGACATTTGCCCTCCCCGCAGTAGGGAGCATATCGCGAGCAGTGAGCATCCGTTCTGCACCACTTGGATTTCCAGCCTGAAAAATCATATTCCACAGTGTAATGTCATGCGCTAGATCGCCGTGACTCGGCCCATCAAAGTCAAAGGATGAGGAAAGCGGCCTTCGCCGCAACACACGCCCAATGCATTTTGTTCTCTTACCGGAAGTTTTCCTTCTAAAAGGGTTTTGCGTTTTAATTTTAGCTAGCAGAGCACACTCCCCCACGGCCAGTTAAAGGGGATGTTCCGCATTTGTGTGGCGTTTTGAACTGAAATAGCCATCTTGAGGGCCTTTTGATGAAGTTTACGGTCACGTCCCTTTTAAGACCCAAAACCCTCTGGTTCCTGAGTTACACGCCCGCAAAAGTGCGAAAAGGTTTATTTGGAGCCTATTTCAAAGTTGCCCCGGGATTAGTGACGTCATAGAAACGTCATGCGATCGCATTCATACTGTAGGCTGTTCTCTACTTATGGTCAAAAGAGCATGGCCGCTGCTACATTCGGAAAAGCGATGATGCGGCACGTATGATACAATGCGCGGAAGGTGATTGGCTGTTAGCAAGATTTCGCTGCTGAATGCTTGTCGCGAACGTAAGCTTGGGCACTTGCAGGTTGTACGGCACTCGTCGTGAACGGGTCAGTTCTCCTTATTTCTAGGCCACAGGTCAACATTATAAAAAAGAACACCACTGCCTGCAAAAAAGTACAGCACTTAAATGACGGGCACTCCTTCGAAAGTGATAAAAACAGAAGAAGCGACGGCAAATCTGTCTTGTTCCCTTGCTGGCGCTTTTTTTCTCTTCTTCTGCCGTATTTCTTACAGACAGACCGGTCGGCGCGTTGTCTACGGGAGGATTGAACCTTGCACGGGTTTATGGGTTAGCCAGGCATTATGAAATTAGGGAAACTCACAGTAATTTTAGGTATATATTTCACTAGACATTTCACACGTATTGTACAACTCTAATTTTGAACAAAAATTTGTGTTCTACAGGTACGTCTTGAGCCGCATTGCCATAAACACCAATTGGGACTTTGTTTTGAATGGATATGACGGTGAAATGCGGTGTTATGACTGAAAATATGTGCAAAAATTGCAAGAAAACCTGCAATTTGATAGTCCCGCGAGCTGTGTAAGCGTGATATCACACTTTTTTCTTTTTTGTAATTGTATCCGAACCCTTTGAATGGATGGATTTCTGGGATCAGACCTAACGCTAAGCAGTGCTTGTTGTGTGAGCCCTGACCCCTACCACCCGATCGCGCAATTCCATGTCAACGGCAGAATTTGGTGGCGAAAGCTCAACGTGCCGCAATGCTTGGCACGGTCCGTCATGCACTCTGACGTCAACTGGCCTTCAGCGCGACCGCTGCCACCGGCCGCAGGCCATACCTGTCATGGGCAAATAGCGAACGCCCTTAAGCGACTCGAAACCACCCCGCCACGGGTGGGTGGATTGGAAAGGAGGCGCTCTAACCAACTGAGCCGCCGGGACGGACATATTTGATTTTTATGGACTTCTTTGACAAAAGAGCGTGAATCGGGGGCTTGAAATGTGTATGATAACTGGTGGCGTGTGCCAGTGGCTTGTATTGATATTGATGTGATGTGAAGTGTGCGTGCGAGGTTTGTACTTCTGAGAGAGAGCATTGTTTGGTATTCTTCAGGGCTACTGACTCAAAATAAAATGTGATATGTTGTTACCTGCCTCTACCTTCATGTTTGTGTTTGAACATAACAAAGGATAGCCCGCAAACTAAGAGAAACACTAGCACCTATGTTACAGGGGTGTACAAAGGCAAGCTGGTACTTCACTATGATCTTGCCAACATTTTGAACCCATTGAGGTATTACAGCATGCGATTAATCCATTGCATATGATTATATTAGCAATTCATTTTGGCAGTAGGGGTTGGTGCGTGCAGCTCAGTAATGGACATGCTTAATGTAGGCTCACATTATATGGCTTTGCAAAATTGTCTTTCCCTAAAGAATTCCGAAAATGTAGAGCTGTATTACCACTGCTGCACACTGTACTGTCGTGGCAAATTTCGTATGCAGGCGAGCATTGCTCGTGATTCATCAATGACGTAGGCACTGCAACTTGCGTGAGATGCTGGGTGCTGAGAAAGTGTGGAAAAGTATTGCTGTTGGTGTCTTGAATAGCACTTAATATAATTCGTATCGTGAGCCTTGTGTGCGCTGGCAGCTTCATCATTTCTTTGCATTTTGCCCATCCAACCATAACTACATGGATTTGTCGTGTCTCCGGCCTTGTGCAAGGTTAGCATGTTTGCAGCGTCACCTCACCACATGTAAAATTTTCCTGTTATTGCTTAACAAGCAGCCTGATGGCTGCAGCATGTTGCATGACTGTGGAAGTGGAAAATGTGTTTGCATCTTTCTCACCTGCGTTTTGTGGATTCTCGAAACAGGGTGAGCAAGTGATGCCACGTATTGTTTGTCTGCTTTGCTGAAAGCGATTTCTATATTGCATCATGTGTTTTTGGTCAGTCGTATGTCAGATGGGAAGCCGATACAACAGTTCCCGCTTAACCCATCTTTTCGTGATGGAATTTGTTATGAAAGCAGCATGGATTGCAGTAGAAAAACCATATGGTTGTTCATTATGTCATGCCGCAGTACGGCACTGAGGGGGTGCCAAAATGAAGCTGTTGGCCCATGACATTACACAGTGTACCACATTGATTGACTATTCTTTGTCAAGCCTATGACACAGCAGCTTATAATTTATGAATAACTGGTAACAACTGATTTAACAATGTCGAAGGACTATCAACAGCAAGAATGTCGTTGCACCACAATGGTTATATCAGGGTTAACTATTAATTGCATAAATAATTCTGGGCAAAAAGAAGCGTTCTTGGTAGTTTATTAATGTAAACTACCAAGTAGTAAATTATGTTTGACTCAATATGTTTAAATGTGGAACAGTCAAATAAAAATAATCTATTTACTTCTCTTATACCACAAGCCTCGCTTCCACTACAACTGGGTTGAAATGATCACTATGCATTTACGGCAAGGAGTGATCACTGAATATTTTCTGTGAGCAGTGTCACTGAACTAAAATAACCCAACCTGAAAGAGGGTCCCGCTCCAGCGGGCCTCTCGGCCCCCTCGTGGCTGGCGCAGACAACCTGTCTCGGACAGGCGGAGCGTCGCGGGGATTCATGATAAATTAAGAGCGAGGATAAGAGCGCCGGATGGGGTAGGTCGGAGCACAGACGGTCCAATCAAGTGAGCTACCGGAACGGCTGAATTCTGGCAGATTGAGGGTGAACAAGAAATATAGCCCGTGTTGTCTCGGACAAAGTGGAAGCCGTAGCAAGCAAATAAGCCGATTTAAATTTTTTGTTAGCTGAAAACCGAAAAATTATCAGTTTTAAACATCGTGAAAGTACATTGAACAAACGGCATAGTAACACTGTGGTCAAAGCATACGACGCTATACTGTTTGTTTCGTCACCACTGTAGCTTGAAGCTGTGATCTAAAACACTGCGGTAGTGCTTAGCCTAATGTCGCGCCCTGTCCTCTCACGGGTGCGTGCTGAAGAGAATAACATCTCAGACATATTCTAGGAAGAAAAGCGGGTAGCTCACCGATAATGAGTCAGGTGGGTCGGGAGGATACATTGTAATATCTTAGCAGAACTGAGCACTGATGTTTCGGCCGAAAAATCAGTATAATGTCCGAATGACCATTAAGTGCGTAAACGCCTTCACCTGGAGCGTGAACAGCGACCTCATGCCTGCCTGGCAAGAGAGCAGCTGGTGTACACGTCAAATGCGCCGCGTGGTCAAAATTCATGGCACATATAAAAAATGATATGTTGATTCCAAAGCGCGTAAGTTACATTCACGGAGCTGCTTACCTTGAACTGTCTTTGGGCTGCTCAAGATGCCTAAAACGAGGCAAATGGCGACAGACTTAGCGAGCATGGCAGCCATTTTCACTCGCTCAGTGTTAAGCAGTAAATGTCGGGCCCGTCAACGATGGTTGTTGGAAACCGAATGCGTCATGCGGTGATGGACAGTTTGCAGAGGCGTCACAAAGTGATGGAGAACACCACGTATCGGCCACCTTTTACGATCACTAACGACATCATAGGACGGACTATCAACACTGGGACTAATGCGAACTTATGAAAAAGAAATGTGCGGGGTAGATGCATAACAGGTGCATGATTTTGATCTGCACATGTCACGTTGCAACTTGCATGCGCATGTAGATTACTTGGGCTGAAAAAGTGCTTTTAGGACAACAAACGGATATAATTATCATTCTAGAAACGCACATAGATAATCCAGCAGGCGGCCCTGTCCTCCGATGGCGCCCGTTTTTCCGGCCTGACGTTAGTCTCGGGGGATGTCACCATGCACTAAACTCGACCACGGCTTTGATTCCGGCGTAATTCTCATCCACAGCCTTCAGAACCATACCGGGTTTTAGTTCTGGGCTTTCAACATCCTCGTGAAATAATCCGCCGGCTACTGGTTTGTGACTGTGTACGGTCAATGTTCCTAATACAAATGCTTCCACCGGCAGAACCAGATAACTGTCACGTTATGACTTCTACGCAACGTTGCTTTCCAATGGATGCACGGCTAGGCAATACAGCTTCTAATACAGCAGATCGCACACAACAGTTCTTATACAACTTCTAATGCTACAGAGGCCGTTCATGTATTACATGTCGCATGGAAGATTTCTAGCCAACATCTCACTCATATCATCTGTTACAAGCCTGGGGCTCTGACGCAGTGAGCTGATTGCTTTTAAAATGCGAGCATGGACACATCCTTATTTGCTTAACGGCAAGGACATCATTTGACGGGAAAGTGCAAATTTGAAAGCGAGAAGAACATGAACACAACATAGACAGATAACACATAGCTATTCACTTTTTGTTTACATTTGACAGCATGGGCAATGGAAGTTCTAGAGTTTCGGGTCTGGATCTTTTCCTTTCCTGTTTCTTTTCCGTAAGTGCATAGCAAACATTGGCCGCTCAATCAACATCGGCCCTACCTTGAGAAGGTAAATATTTCATGTTTAAAAAGTCAGGCCCATTCGCCACATCCCGTCAGCCGGAAAATACAGTGCATTTACCAGGAAAAAACCTTTTGCAACTCTTGTTAGCTGGAGGTTTGACAGCATTTTAGGGAGACCCTGATGGTTGAAAAACTGAGATAACAGCAGTGTTTTTATTACCTTGAAATATATTTGGATATTGCCAGATCCTAATGTAGTTGATTACTGCACCCTTCATAACAGATACCCCTACTGTCCGGCAGTGATCAGCACGTAGCTTCAGGTGCCATGTACTCATGCGTCAGGCAACAATCTTTAACTAACAGTAAAACCTTATTGGCTGTAGTGGGCATATCAGTACATGTGGACTGTTTCGCATGCATGTGTTATGTGGCCCTTAAAGGGTGTGCTCCCTTTTTGTGTTACGTTTTGAGCTGAACCGGCCATCTTGAATATCATTCGATGTAATTCCCGGTCCTGCCTTTCCTAAGACCTAAGTCCGTATAGTTTCTGAGCCACACGTCCGCGAACATGCACAGACTATATCGTGCAGGCTACTTTAAGTTCACCCAGGCACCCATGACGACAAAATAGTCATTCAAATCATGCCATGCCATTGGCAACGCGGCGATCAAGCCAAGGAAAATATCATAATCGAGTCGTTTATATCTGACGTTTGCGAGCACGATTTCCAGAATTATACGGCCGTCAATTGACTCTAAATCAATGTTATGCAAAGTACGATCACGCAATGAGTGAGATATTACCGAATGTATTCGCCCAAAACAGAAATAATGTTTTCCAGAGCAGTTTTTCACTTCAAAGTTGACCAGTGGTTACAAGCGAGCTTATGCCATCATGTATGATGCTTGCTTCCATATCTTCAAATGTCAAACATTCTCTTTAGCTTTTTCACTTAAGCAGAAATACCTGGGTCGTCCAGAGGCAAAGGTCTTCAACTAAGAGTAATGCTATGTTGGTTGCAGTGGTGCCATCAGGACATACCGTTTGACTTGCCCGATGGTGTGTGAATTTCATGTGGTGCGAGAACAGAGCTTTGTAAGGGTACGCTGTGTGAGAATTTCCAGGATCCAGGATATGGCTTTGTCGAAGGAACTAGTCGGAACAAAGATCCATGGTTTTGTTTTGTCGAAATACCAGCGCAAGGTCCAATCTTGGATCCAAAGATCCAGGATCTTGGTTTATCAGAAGAGCTAGCAAGAACTTGAATCCCGGTTTTATTTTGTCGAAAGAACCAGGGAAACATGATTCAGGGTTCTGCTTTGTGGGACAAACCAGTGAAAACCAGGAATTACAACTGTGAACCAAGCAAATGTCTGGTGCAACCATAAGGACGTGGGGAATGGGAGCTAAGCCACTTACAGGGATTGGCGGCTCCAAGACTGAAAAAATGTGGTAACCTAGTGACAGATCAAATGCATAACGCAGGACCAAGTTGCAAAATAAGATTGCTCAACCCAGTCCGTGTTTAGAGATGCACGTGATGGTGCGCGCCATTCGTTCAATAAGTCATTTTGAAATACTCATTGGCGGAAGTCATTACATAGAATGGTATTTGTCTTTAACGCATGCCTACGCTCCGGCGATGACGTAGGCGCTCGAGTGCTTTACATCCGGTCTGATGGGCGGCGAGAGCTCGCCAGTACCCAACCCAGTCGCACCTAACCCAGCAAACCCAGTCGTCTGAGTTTGCGTGGTCTTCTCCGTTCATACAGAGGTACGGGTGTGAGGCCGAGGGAGGCTGCGAGGGCTGCTTTTCACCGGCCACTGCCAACGTAATTCACCGCTTGCGTTGTGTCCCTGCCAATTTGAGCGTGTTATCAGTGCAATTGATTATTGTTGCATTTAATAGCTCCAATTTTGCCTCGTTTAAATATTGTCGTTAGCTCAGCGATGGAGGTGGAGTACCGTGCATAGGGGCGCACAGCCATGTACGGAGAGAAGCCGTTCATGGTATCTGATCGGGCCTACCGTTCCGCCAATACCCCGGTCACCCACCTCATCCTGGCTTTGTGAGTCACATGAGTATGTAATGATGTCGGGTGCACAACGTGCTGAGTCGTGGGCTTGCATCATTTGACTCGTATGCTGGCCAATGGGCTCCTCAATATGAATTCGCTTTTGTAAGATGTGACAGCGGCGCCGGCGGAGCACAGGCATACAGCGGCAGCCCGGCAGCAGTGCAGCGCAAGAACCAAGCACCACAAGCACCACGCAAGCATTACAGAACCCCACCCCACAACAGTGTCTCTGCTCTACACACAACCCGTCCAAATTAGGTACCACTTGTATGCAAAGTGTCAATGTGCTAATAGTAAGTTTGTGACCAAATTTAACATAAGCAGGTGAAAATGACCCAACGTACCTTCTGGATTAATTTGATATTCGAAATTACCATCGGCGCCAAGCACCGCCCTTGGCGGCATGCTCCTCAAAGCAAACGCTTAATTGAGATCCTGTTAGGCCAGTAACCTTCCTTGAACGTCATGAAGGCAAACCAAGAAATCTTCTGCGTCGTAGTCCAAAAACGCGTAGTGGTAGTTAAAAACTATCTTATAAGGCAAATTTTCCATTGATAACGTGGTGAGTTTTTTTACCTTGATCTGAATCTGTAGGTAAACTAAGGTAAAATGATTTGGTCCTAATCCTGATTTCAACAGTCAAGCTGTCAAAGACAATCAAAGTTGTATGACTTAGTCTAAAGCTACGTTGTCGTATCATTCTGAACGATAACCTAAAAATTACCCACATTGACAACCTTGGGCTAACTTTGACCTATCAGTAGCCTAACCACATATATCCAGTTTTGTAAGTAAAACTTTGGCTATTCCATTGCCTACAGTTCTGTGAATTTTGACGCTGCTCTGCCACGCCGTTCCGAAATGATTTTGAAACACATATTTCTGGACGTTAAAATTGACCCCACCCCGAACGTGTGGCGCGGAACATCACTGGACGCTCATACTTGCTGTCTTAGTAAATAGGTGGTGGCTTCCTTATCGAACCTTTCGAACTTTACACCATCAGCGAAGGTTGCTTATACGTGCTCGCACATGGTTCTCTAAATATGAATCTGAAGGTGATCATGATGATGATGTTTATCATCATGGTGGTGGCAGTTGTGACGGTAGTCGCACTGTTGGTCACAACGATGGTGAGGCCTTTGGGTGCGATGCTTGGTTATGATTGCGATGGTGGTGGTGATGACGATGGTGGTGGTTGTGTGGCCAATGGTAGTGGTCGTGATAATGATGGGAGTGACGGCGACGATGACGCTGACGATGACAATGATGGTGACACGATGACGATGACGATGATGGTGACGATGACGATGACGATAACGATGATGGTGACGATGACGATGCCGCTATATTGTCATCATGAAAATGAATGATGCATCGTGACCGCCTGATGGTTTATTTTCCACACAAAATAACAATAAGAAGTGCAGCAAAGTTTGCGTTCTGTCGCAGAGGTCTGGTCAGGGCGCAAAGTTCTGGGCTGGTTTCGGTCTGGTCGCATTATGTGTGAAAAGAAATACAGAACTCCTGAAAGCGGTGTCAAAAACTGTATTTGTGGTGTTAAAAGAGGCGTTTTCAGGGTCATCACAGACAGATGTTGCGATGAATGCATCATTTTGGATCATCACATCATGTTTCAGAGCTCATCAGAGGTGTCTGTACTCTTTGTCTTGACTCACAGTTCTTCGTGCGTGCGATCCCCCAAAGCATATTGTATTTTTTTTGTGCGCGGATTTTTCACACGTTCAGAAACTCCCATTACCAGCTCCAAAGCTGCCTCTGAAAGTGGTGGCCGTGCTCTTGCAATTCCAGCTGAAGTTGCGGAAGCAGTGCCGAAGATATTTAACGGCACAGTGGCAGGTCCCCTGCCAGCCGACACGGTACCGCTCCTTTATGCTTATCTGCAGACACAGGCATGCTATAGTGAGCATGGTGACAACAGCACCACTGCTGCCATGCTGACGTCGCGTCGTGTGTTGCGGCGAGGGTCCGCTAACGGCGCGCTTGATTTCTTGGTCTGCTGAGTTTAAAGTGAGACAAAAATTCCGTGTGCTATGAAACCTGTCACAATCCACCTGACGCGTTGGCGCTACGAACCTATAGCCTGGAGCAGAAGCATCGCATAAAGACAACGTCTCTGTAGGCGGCACGAAATACATTGGAAAAACATGGCACCAAGTCAGTAGAAACGTCGTAAAATCACGCAAATATGTGTGTTTGATGCGAAGTTGATTGGCACTCCATTTATTTCTTCTATTTTTAGGTTCCTAGGTCATGAAGTTTTGAGGCTTCTAGGTCATGGCCTTCGTGTCAAATAAGGTCAAACAAGGTCATATTACACGTTGGTCTCAAAAGTGCCACCAGAGCCTGGATATCTGTTTCAAGGCAAAAGGTTACATGCCCATTAAAGGTCAGGAACCTTGCTTGACCTCTTCAAGGTCATAGTGACCAAAATCATGCAAGACCGCTTTGGGTTTTCCATTTTACTAAGTGCAAAAGATTGCGCTAAGCGGTATGTTTCAAATAAAAAGACGTTAACATGGGTCATTTCAGTTCAATGACTTATTCTGACCTCTGAGAAGCCCATGGAAAATGTATAATGTAGCTTGTGCTATCAGTAAATTTTAATGTGCGCCAGAAACTATCAAATACGGCAGACCTTAGAGAAATAAGACGGGTTGGTTTTGACATTGGTCTGACATTCATACTTGACCTCAGGTCAACGTGATTTGTTTATTCAATATTGTTTTGCCTATGGAAGCATATCAGAGGTGTACGGCTTCGTCTAGCACTTCGTTGTTTCATGGGTTTGAGCAATTTCCTAGAAACTGACTTCTCTGAAACCCTGGTCTGATTGGACCTGCCAAAAGTCAGCGACCTTGCAAGATGCAACTAAATTTGGGAAACCAAACGAACCGCTATTCAATTATCTACAGCTGTGCAAAATTTGGAGCGGGTACACCGCGCCGTTCGTAAACCATTGTGGAAAAACCTTCCGGGGGTCAATTTGACCCCTCCACTCGGGCGTGTGTTAAACTGTATAAGTATCGGGGTCTTATGTTGTTTGTGCAAGCTGCACAACACCCGGAATGCACCAGTAAAAGTGTATGAAATCAAACTTTAAAATGGTGCCGCAACATAGCAGGACACAAAACTCTCAATTTGGTCATTCACTTGGAGACACCATCTAGATGCCAATAACTCATGCCACAACAATTGCTATGCATTCACTTACATGACCCGCAGTAAATTTTTGTACAAGCCCAGCCGTGACGTACGCATTTACATGTGTTACATCCGGCAACGCCGCGTTCGCCGGAAATGCAGAATGTTGTAACCGCTGAAACATCACCAAACATGTTAATCCACAGAGTGATAATCTCATGACGCGGTCAGGTGTGGTCAGTCCATGATGTGATCAGACGAACACACAGTGTGTGTGTGTGTGTGTGTGTGTGTGTGTGTGGTGTGTGTGTGTGTGTGTGTGTGTGTGTGTGTGTGTGTGTGTGTGTGTGTGTGTGTGTGTGTGTGTGTGTGTGTGTGTGTGTGTGTGTGTGTGTGTGTGTGTGTGTGTGTGTGTGTGTGTGTGTGTGTGTGTGTGTGTGTGTGTGTGTGTGTGTGTGTGTGTGTGTGTGTGTGTGTGTGTGTGTGTGTGTGTGTGTGTGTGTGTGTGTGTGTGTGTGTGTGTGTGTGTGTGTGTGTGTGTGTGTGTGTGTGTGTGTGTGTGTGTGTGTGTGTGTGGTGTGTGTGTGTGTGTGTGTGTGTGTGTGTGTGTGTGTGTGTGTGTGTGTGTGTGTGTGGTGTGTGTGTGTGTGTGTGTGTGTGTGTGTGTGTGTGTGTGTGTGTGTGTGTGTGTGTGTGTTTTTCCCTCGGCCCACTGCATTGGCAACAGTTAGAGGAGAAGGCATCTGGTGAATGCCGTGCATGTAATGTCTTTGCCGAACTATGCACGTCTCGCAGAACAAAGGGCCAAGAACGACAAGTTCAATATACGTAGGTTACTTACGGCGACATTTGCCCTCCCCGCAATAGGGAAAGTAATGCGAGCAGTCAGCATCCGTTTTGCACAGCTTGGGCCAGCCTGAAAGCAATGATTCCAAAGTATATTTACGTGCACTATATCGCCATAACTCGATCGATCGAAGTAAAAAATATGTGGAAATGAGGGTTTGGCGCAAACCACACCCAGTGTGTTTCATTTTATTTGCGGAATTTTTCCTTCTCACAGAGTTTTACATTGTTATTTGTCCTCACAGCGCATACGCCCGAGGGGCTGAAATAAAAAAAAGAAAGTTTCTCTCCCCAGCAGGGTGCATAACCCGGGCAGTGAGCATCCATGTTGCACCGTGTGAGCCGCAACCCTGAAAAATGATGCAGCAGTTTACGCATTTGGTCGCCACAAGTCGGTCAAAGTTCATACGTTCGGGGAAACGCATTTTCCGCAAGTGACACTAGATGTGTTTTATTGAATTAAAAGAGAACGTTTACATGAGGCCTATTATCTGAGTTCAAACAAGTTGAGTTTTAAAATTTTTATTCGCTTCACGTCTGTCACCAGGCGCACATCCCAAGCAACTAGCTTGAGATGACGTATTTTGAGGCTATACAAAGTAGTAGCCTAACCCGGGCTTTACAGCCTGGCTTTAGCAATGACCTAAGATATCTAGAACTGACTTTAGTGAATATCTCGGTCCATCGTGTGTTACGCCACACGCTGGTCTTTTTGTACTTCCAAACACGAATTCTTTCACTTTGCTGAAAGGATTCAATGTGAATGAGGTATTCTTATGTTTCTTAAATGAGATGAAAACTATTAGCTTAAAATATAGTTTGTAAAAGCAATCACAAAAGATGAAACTCGCAAACATGTTTTAAACGTTGCGCAAAAGTCTTCAGCGAATAGCGTGTTAAACGAAATGACGTTTACAAAATTATCAATTTAGATAAGAATAAAGCCGCTTACCTGTAGCTTTCCGAGAGCTGCTCACAACGCCTAAAACCACACAAAGGACGATGAATTTAGAAAGCATAGTGACAATCCTCTCCTGCTCAATGCTTAGCAGCAAATGTCGGGTTCCTCGATGATGGCTCGTTGGACGCCGAATGATGCGTCATAACCGTGATGGACAGCCCGCAAAGGCGTCACAAAACAATGAAGGACGCCGCGTATCGGCCATCTTTCACCATCACTAACGCCGTCTTAGGTTGTTGGGTGTCACTCAAAACTATCAGAGGACAATCTGGCGCGTATTTATAAAAACACGTGTAATTAATGTTTAGCTCGTGAGATATGTGATATTTTGCAGTTTGTAATCTGCCTAGAAATGGCTATGGCGCCAATGGCTATGACTAAGCCTGCAGGGGTCAGAAATTAGCAAAGGCAGGATCAGTTAGATTTGGTTTGGTTGGCTGCGGACGTCAACAGATCCTGCCTTGCACGCTAGTGTCGGATTGTTAGCCTGCGTGATCCTCAGAATTCAGCTGTCTTTGGCGCTAGCTTCGCCTGCAGTCGTCAGAAACGTTATTAACTTTGGCTCTGAAGCTTTCATTATGCTGATGAAGCTAGCAACCGGCTTCTTGCTTGTGGCCGGGTATACGGACAATGTAGCTTACACAAATCCTACTGATGACAGAAATACAGAGCTTTCACAGCACGAACTACACGCGACATTATTTGTGTTGCATAATATTCTACGCGATCAAAGTTATAAAGCAATACTTTACAGAGGGTGACGTCGTGACGCTACCCTCATATGTACCTTTAATAATGTTTGGGGCGTTTCACGTTTTAACCCTGAAAACCAGACGCTGCTGACTTCCTTTCATGACAAGCAGCATGTCTGTTTTTTTGTCGTATCTCCCATTCAGTTCGGGGCCAAACGGACGCTACGTGTTTGGAACATTACGCTTAGCACAGGGTGATCAACGTGAGGGTTTTTATCCCAGCGTAGCCAGTGCGCATCTAAAAGGAGGCAAATTTTGTAAACTGCAAAAAAGGAGTTCCGTAATTTGGGGACGGCCTCCAGGTGGTATTTTGTCCAATGAACAAAATTACTAACGTGCAAACGATCACGTACATAAACTCGGATGCAAAGACTGCTTAGGCATTATGTCCAGCCACGGGTCGTCTAACGCAAACCATTTCTACGGAGCATACCTTCACCGCGACAAAGCCGGCACGTCGAGTGCAAAATCGCCAAGAGGGTCGTTCCAATCTCCTAGTGCTGTCGAAGGTAAAGGAACTCCGAGTGCTGTGGCCAACGTTTAAACCTGTGACAGACGAAAGAACGTGAAAAGAGTGGCAGTTAAATCAAAGATCAGAGTGCTACCAGGGATCAGCGGTTCTGCTGCTGAAAAATGTGACAGTGAATAACGTGATAGTGGACGTGGATAATCGTGTACGTCAAATGCATAACACACGGGAAGACCACAAAAGATAAAATCGTTTCGCCTGTCTGTTTTTAGGAGTAAAGGTTTGGACTATTAGCTCAGTCGGTTATTGTGCCATATTCTTAAGAATACGATTTGACGCTCAGCCCTGTTCTTCTTAAAGGAGATAGTATACATTTGTATGGAGTTTTGAGCAAAAATAGCCATCTTAATGCAGTTCACAAATATGCTTTTCAAAGCCATCTTGGTTTCAGCTCTACATGCCCGCAAACATTCCAAACTATATGGGAAGACTATTTCAAGGTCCATGACCACAAGATAATATCAGTAAAATCTCACCATTTCTTTGGCCATAAATAGCTGGGAATTGGATCTCAATTTATGTTGTGCAAGGTACGATAACGTCATCAAACAATGACGCGTTGAGGAGCATATTTATCGAACAGGGGACGAGGACGAGGACGAGAACGATGACGATGGCGATGGCGATGACGATGGCAATGGCGATGGCGATGGCGATGATGATGTCAATGACGATGACGCGCTCAAGGAAGAGCACGTCGTAGACGATGATGACGACCACGACTGTGATGCAATAAAACATGCAATAAAACAAAGCATTGGCACCGCTTGACAATGTATTGTTCAAACCAAATACAAAATAATTAATAGAACACCGTTTGCAATACATCACAGAGATGTGGTGGTGTAACGTGTCCGATTAAATATTGAGCACCACAGAGCGGTGTCAAAAACTGCATTTGTGGCCATCCAAAAATCTATTTTCAGGGTTCTCACAGACAAGCGTTCGTACCGAATGCATTGTTCCGGATCATGGCTTCAAATTTCAATGTGCATCAGATGTGCTGGCGCCCCTTGCTTAGTGACCACAGTTCTTGGTGCGTCCATTTACCAGCGCACCGTGCATTTTTGTGCTCGAAGTCTTCACAAATTCAGGAAGCCCATTAACCGTATTAACTCTCGCTCCGATAGCGGCGGGGAAGGGGGAGGGGGGGGGGATGTGAGTCCCATAAGATTTTGGGGGATAGCGCCTTGGCGTGTAGTGTAATCACGCCCATAGTTTCCCTAGCGTAATGGACGTTAGTTGCGCGTGTTTTGACCGTACCAGCATGCTTCTAGCTTTCCTGGTTTCCAACGAGGAATGGTTTTGTAAGAACCCTCTAAGAACTCCGCGATCCGCGGCCGGCAGGTGGCTACCGACGAAGCCGTCGATCGCACATGTCGGGCCAACACTGTCGCATTAACAGAGCCCTGCACCATGAACATATGCTGAAAACACATAAAAATGCATCAGTGTGCTCAAAATTTAACAAGAAACACCGTTGTGTCGTTTCATGTTTCTGTCTGGCATGGTATTGTCACTGGCCTTTTGATCTGGCTGAATGGGGTCAGTTATTGACCTAGCACCTTGTCAACACCAATCCAAACTAATAGCGAGAGCTCGTTGAGGCCAATTCACTGTTTTCTCCGCGAGGCTCTATCTTTCTTAGCTTGGAAATCGGAGGGGTGGGTCGTATCAAACTTTCTATCGTTCCGCGCTATTATGTGGGGCGAGTCAGGGCGAGGGTTAAAGCTGCTTCTGAACGTGTTGGTTGTTGTCTTGCAATTCCAGCTGCAGTGGCCGAGGCAGAACCGAGGATCAGTCGCGGCATAGCTTCAGATCCTTCGCCCACTGACACGGCACCGCTCCATCATGTTTGACTGCAAAGGCACAGACATGCCGTAGTGAGCATGGTGACAACAGGGTCCTTTCTCCTATGCTCGCGTCGCGCCGTGCATTGCAGCGAAAGTGCGCCAAGGGCTCCCTAAAATTGCCAGTGCTCCTGGTTTGAAACTGATTCCAATGCACCCTCCGCTGATATACTTATAACATTTCCATTTTGTGGCAATGCATTTGTTTACTTGAAACGTAACCTTTTCATGAGGTGCTGATGGTGACGGCGGCGATGATGATGATGACAGCATATTACGCTCATGTTGCCACATAGACGCAAAAATGTTGTGTCCACTGTAGCTGTAAGATAATTAGACCATACGAACCGATGTTCAGAAATGCGTCACGCGCAGCTTAAGGACACTTCATTCATTCTGCTACTGCACTACATCAGGTGTTACTGCACTACATCATTTTGCTACTGCATTCCGACTTACACACACCAAACAATGCATACAAATACTATCTAAACAACTGTTAACTGCTGCCTTAATGTGCACTTACCTGGTTCCGGACAGCTTTTATACGCGCAGGCCCAAACGGCCTAAACAGGCAGGCCCAGGCCTAAGCAACTGTAAACTGCTGTCTTAATGTGCACTTACATGGTTCCGGACAGCTCTTATACACGCAGGCCCAGACGCCCTTGCCGCAGATGCACCTCTTGCATCCAGCCATGCCCTCTTCGCCGGATCGGCAGTGTGTTATCACCCCTGAAACATCACATATTAGTGGTCGCAATCCACAGAGTAGGCTGCTTAAAAGACCAACGTGTAATACTTTTCCTCTGGCCCATTCATCGGCAGCTGATGCAGGAAAAGGTAACTGGCGGTCGCCGTCCTTGCTAATTAATCTGCCGTCCATTAATATCTTTGCCGAACTTTATACGTCTCGCAGAGCAGAAGGCCAAGGACGACAAACTTAAAACACGTGTGCTACTCACGGCGGCATTTGCCCTCTCCGCAGTAGGGAGCGTATTGTGGGCAGTCAGCATCCATTTTGCACAGCTGGGGCTTCCGCACTGAAAGCAGTGAGGCAACGGTTTATGCACTGAACTGTCACACCTCGGTCATTTAGTCAAAGAGCCCGGGAGGCTGCATTTGCCCAAATGTACAGGTTTTTACATTTGAACGTGAGCAAGAAGAATTTGCAATATCAGCCATTCATTTCTCCGTTAGCACAAAGCACTCTTCTCTTACAACGAGACTAGGATGGATTCTTTGCAGTGGCACAAAAGGTGGCCGGTAGCTCGCGTGTGAATCACAAAAAGCGGCTCAAGTGCAGTGTGAGTACTGTTTTTTGTGAATTGCTTTACCGTGAAAGCTGTTAACGACGCATGCTCACGCACATGTAAATGTGCACTTGCACGTTACATAGGGTTTATGAAGGGCTAAGGAAGGTTTAAAGAGACAGTCAGCCAGGAATGTGGCAGAGAATGTTGAGCGGTAATGGAGTGTAGAACAGAATGTGCAAGCGATATAACAGTGGGAATCATTGGCGCCAGAGGTGGGTGGTGGAGCACCCTTACTCACTGCTGGCCAACGGTGCCACTTGCAGCCACACCGATGGTCTGTGAATACCCCGAAATTTGGTTGATATTCCATCGTTTATGACATTTTGTCAACAGCTTGGAATTGTCAACGTCCATTGCCCCAGACCCAGTTATAGATCCAGATCAAGTGGCCGTCTGACACATTAAGTGGTTGTCTGGAGCTTCCGAGACGAATACGCAAATCGTCTACCCGTGAACAGGCTCAGTTTCTAAAGTTGTTATTAGCATTAGCAATGCCTCTGGAAAATAGCGACAACGTTTGTTTATGTGTTCTACTTCGCTGTGCAAATGGCTATTGCAATGATTGAATCAGACAAAGGAAGCGAGTTGTGACACAGCGCAATAAGCTGACGCTGTGCTCGCCTCAGGTTGTGTTTCTGCACCACGGTGTTCCTGTCAGAAGTTGTCACCCTGTGTCA